ATGTCATTATATTTTTAAAATATCATGAGAATGCATTAAGTACATGTAACAGTTACACTGCATAAAGTGATGAATTGTTGATACAGTAAGATTAAGCGGTTTCAAGGAATAACTGAAAAATAAAACTTTTAAAAACATAATTAAATTAAATAATTGTTTTAATTTATAAACTATAAACATAACTCAATTTGTCAATTATTATTGAACTATATTGTAATGAATCTCAATGAAACAAACTTATTCATACTCAAGTACCAATTTATAGTAGTAGGTAAAGAATAAAATACAAATGGTTACAAGTAGGTACATAATAATATAATTGTATTGTTGTAAAAAAATAACATGTATAACGACATCGTGCTTAACATTTACTAAGGTAATGTAAACTTGCCAATTCCAAATAGTAACATAACATTATGAGACATAAGTTATAATGAATAGTAAGACATAAACACTAACATACACGCAGACTGCCAAATCATAATAATAACGATTATATTTATATTTACAAGGTAATTCACTCGTCTATCATACAAATTGCTTTTTATTAATTATACTCACACAATTTCTATGTTTTTATAACACTGAAAACAGATGTTTTTCAATAAATAATGTTTTTATCGTTTTAAATATACTGCATTTACATCAACAAATAAAAACTTAAACACCGACTATATCGGAAATATACTTAATTACTTAAGATAATAGGAAACATTTCTTATAAATAAAGAGTGCATGCTAGTTATTTTGCTTATATGATAAATTAAAAATATACACATCCTGGGAGTTGCATTGGGAAGAAATCGAAAAGTCTACGCACGTGCGGACGTCATATTGTTAATAAACGGCCCTGTTATTTCTCACCTATGCAACCGGTTCACGCTGGCCAGCGTGACCGGAATCGATTCATAAATAAAGAGATTCCAAAACGAGGAGTACATAATATACAAAACACCCTGGGCCAGATGGGAAGAGGATAGTGCGTGTATGCGGCGGCTTGCACGAGTGAGATGGAGATGGGGAAAAAAATAACACGAAAACAGATTTTAATCTGATGTCCGTCTGCGTTTTTGTGATGCTGTACGCCTGTACCATGGGGTTTCGTCGACTGTATAGCTTGCGGGGGTCAATGACAAAAAGAGAGAGAAATAACAATCCATCCATTGTTAAATATCAACGATAGTTGATTCACGATTGCATGAAACTGAACGATTACAATCGAAATAATATATAGACCGAACTAGCCAATTTGATGATCTGCAGCAGAGCTTATCGGAATCGGGGTCAGTAATATTATGGTCGTGATTTTAATACAACTACCTAGGTATAGTGTATAACTACTAATATTTCCTTTTGCGTATATTACGAACATTCCAATTTTGACGATCGCTTCATAAAACATGTATATATAGGTATTAGGTAGTTATTTACTATTTAGTTAAATAATATGTATTGTGAAACCAAATTTATATTATTAATGTATAGCCTTACTGTTAAATTAGCACAACTATAATGGTAGGTATGTCTATTGTCTATTAATAATTATTGTCATAAGTATACTAATTACTATGTACCTATATTATTTTACATAGGTACTAAATAGGTACTTATGATATATTAATTATCACAATTGCTTTAAAAAATTGAATAGTTATAAAATTAAATACAAGTCATACCAGCTTAAAAATAACTATCTTTTAGTATTAATAAAAAAGGATTACTATTTACTATTGTGCATTGTGAATGTGTTAATGTGTAATCTACGGTTTCTATACTTCTGTCAAGAATCTAATAGCCATAATTATTATTGATCTCTCTAGTCTCTAAAAACTACAATTCGACCCTTCAGGTAATTTCTCAAGATCAGAATAATTTTTCAGGACAGAGGTGTTACTATCTTGCATGAGTTATTGAGAGCTGAAGAATGTTTTCAAATAATGATACAACTTAATACTTGTAACTTATAATTTATAAGTATTTAGCATTCAAAAACATCGACTATAGTACTATATCTATATGAATATGAACAACAATCAATAATCATAATAGGTAATGCTTACTACGTTGATGTCTCACAACACAACTAACAACATATTATAAACTATAATATAGCACAATCGCCACAATCGAGAATTAATAGTGTTTTCTATATAATATACCTATGATTTCAATAATTATATATAAAATAATATCAAGATACAAAATAAATAAAACCGTTTTTATTTTTTATAGGCGTCGTGCTACTATTAGTTTTTTGCGTCAGAAATTCAGACGGTAAGTAGATGTAAATTGTAAATACAATCATGATCTTATCGATAAGTACACAACTCACTAAACTCAGCGTGTTATAAGAATTATTATAATTAAATCAAATCAAACCGATAAGTTTAACTAGTTTCAGAATACTGCAGGTCTGCAGAATAATATAAAATCACAGACCATGAGAAATTATTTTATACCTTTCTTATCTACATCTCAATATACTTTAATGATTCGTCACAAATATCAACTCCAGTATAATATCTACTCGTAAATAAATCTTATATAATAAATGTACCTACAACAAAACTGAATAAATCCAATGTTCAAACTGTTCTACATAATTATATAGTTTTATTGTAAATAATACATAAAGCTTCTAAGTAGGTATATCGAGTGTCAAATAGTATAATATTTTAATTTAGGCAATGTCTTTATATTAAATTATTATTTGTATAATTACTTAAACACTTTAATATGATCCAGAAAATTATCTATAAAACTAATAATATTATTATTATTTAACCCATATAATGGTCCAAGGTTACTTTTCAATAATTAGAAAATAATTTACTCTGCATAAGCACTTATTGAACATTGAATTTATTTTGGATTAATTATTTTTGTTATATAGATATTATTATTTTTATTTTTATTTGTTAATTTTTTTTTTTTATTATTATTATAAAACATACAACAAGTCATTTTTATCTTCTATAATTGACATTAATAATGAGGGGGTGGCCAAAAAAATTAACACTTGGGTATGGAAATTCAGTATACGACTGATTGTACCTAATTAGTAATTAATAATTACTAATTACCTACAATTGGCTAACTGGTAGGTACTCCAAGTCCAAATATTATAATATTATATGTTTAGTGTTTGTAATGTAATAACTAATAACTAATAATTATGTTATTATATATGGATATACCTGCTGCTACAAGGGTAAACGATTAATAAAAATAATGCACTAATTTCACTGATAAAATTGACATTTGTCAAAATATCACGCTAGTAGGTATAGTACTATCTAACTAGAATATTGGCCATAATTTTTTTACATCGATAATTAATAATTATTGAGATTTTATACTGCAACGACCAGTTATAGATGTTCCTGCACGTATCGTAACTGAGGTATGTCTTTTATAACATTAACACTCCAATTATATTACTTTTTTATGTACATAAAATAATAGACTGGGACTTTTTAAGTCCACTCGACCTCTTCTTATGAATTTGGGGGGGGGAGAAGATTTTCTCTATAAAATAATAATATACAAAAAAATTTAAATTTATAAAAGTAGGGACTGGCGTCTATATAAGGTAAACACCTTGGAACAGTTGGATCCAACAAACTAATCTATTAGGTACCTATCAATCTAGATTGTAGATATATACACATTATACCTAATATTATATAAATACAAACTATTCAATGTTATGTAATGTAATGTAATGTTAAACCAACTATTTGTTTAAAATAATCGCCTATCCAACTGCAAGGATACAAAGAACAAATTTATAGTAATATAGTTGGCATGATGTCTCTCTTACTCTCTTATTACCTTGACGTGCCATCCTCCGCTCGTAATCCTCGGAAGACGGTCGGAGCGTTTTATTGTCAGACCGGATATTATGAGACTCGCTAGTACATAGCGTACAAGACCCGTTCTGCTGAAATTGCGTTGTACTGCACACTACTCTTACTTAGTACGCACTCGGAAACGTCAACACGAAAACGGTTTGATCGAGAAACGAACGGCATGATGTGCACACGGAGAAAAACACTGGTGACTAACGTGTTTTGCAAAAGATTTACTGAAAATGTTATAGTGGTTATCCGCTCTTGAGTATGTTTAGGAACAATGTAGACCGCGGTCGTTGAATTTGTACCACGGTCGTAGCCTCAGACCGCGGTCGAGGATACTATAACGCCTATGTGGCGAATGTTTCTTTTCTTTTTTTTTGCGAGCGGGTATAACTACTATATTTTCCATTAGACAGTCTAAAAAAACTCAGTAACCTTTTTCTACCATAAACCTATATAAAGATGTTTATATAGGTCTATGTTTTCTACACGTCTGTGATCTGCCATGCCATCCAATTCTCTATGAATCACGACCAATCTGATTTCGGGTCGCTGTTCGTAAATGCGATGCATTCCGATTTCTTGTATATTTGAGAGTCTTCCGGAACGACGAAACGCTTTGCCGTTTTCCAAACATTACGAACCTAGTTTGGCGATAGGTTAGTTCATGTAACACGCAAATTAGCCACTTGGGCATGATCGTATTATTTCTAGATTCCTCGTACTAGAACGACATTACGGCCGTTATTTCGAATTTATCGTAGTTTCACATCCTAGTTATACTTATGTATAATGTGTTATGTGCACATGGGCTGGTAAAATCCAAATAAAACCTTTATAAAATAGTCACGAGATTGCTAAAGATAATTTAAAATAAATGTATCTTGAGATTGAATATACTTCAAAATTCCAAAAATCAAAATATTATACTTAAAGCTTCGAGGGTTTAGCGTACTAAAAAAAATCGTCCTATAATACCGCGGAAATCAGTGATGCATTTTGGGCGGGAGGAGGAAGAGCAATTGGCATTTTTATATGGGCTATGGGTTTTTAATATTTAAGTATATAACATATATAAACTAATTTTTATTGTAAATAATTGACATTTATATTTTTTAATGATGGGGAGGGGGTTCAAAATAATTATGCATACGTAATATCATATTTGTATTCTAAGGTATTATAATTACTTAAAATAACTATTATATTTTGATTGAATCGGCTGAAATACTTACGTTTACATTCGTTGGGATCGCGAACAGTGGCCCTAGCCCAGGGCCTGTCAAAATGGAATGGCTTGCACCGATCGCAGTCTCGTCCAGCGGTGTTGTGCTTGCAGTCGCATACCAGCGACGCCCCGGGACCTGACGGTATGCACTTGGACGCGTGTCCGTTGCACTTGCACCGGCCGCCCACGGACAAATCGGACACCGCATAATGGTACGTGCGACCGGCGGACGGCGACGCGGTAGTCACCGGAACGACGACGGTGGTCTTTTCGGGTTCATGTCCCTGCAACTCTTGGTCCGGGTTCAGCATGAGCAAATCAGCACTCGTCTTGTTGCCGTTGAGTGGTTCGTCCGAATCTGACTTTAAATCCACACCGGTGGCACCGAGGCTGCTGGCCGTGCTGGTGGTGGTGCTGGCGGTGCTACTAGCGGTGGTTGCCGCAGCGCTGGCAGGCGAGTCCGGAGGCGCGGACGGGAAGTGCAACCGGTTGAATATTATTTTCACGTCAGTGGCCGTCACCCAGTCCTGGAGCACAGGGCTGTTGTCGAAGTCGATGGCACTGGGCCGGCCCTCCAACGTGCTGAACGCGACCCGTGACGCCGACGACCCTGCCCCGTTGAATCGGTGCGAGTCCGTGCACAGGGCCTCCTGTTCGTTGGCCTTGGTGATGATGGCCCGGTTGGGCCGGCCGTACACCTTGCGGCACTGTCCTGAGTAGAACTGGAACGGTTGCCACGTCTTACCGTAGTCCATGCTCTTGTACACTGCTATAGAGTCTGGTTTGGCGGCCTTAGGGCAGAACTGCAGGTTGATGTACGTGAGCTCGTACTTTTTGCCCAGCGACAGTGTGAGCGTCACGTTATCGGGCGGTGGTAGCGCCGACGCCGGGTCCACAGGTTGCGCGGATAGCGTCTCGGACCGCCAGCACGTGGCGTTGTACGGGTTGTTCGGGTCGGTCAGGTAGGCTGCCGGGTGACGGCGTTTTGGCTGCGTGTCGTCGCACGTGTGGCAGATGCCCTGGGACGTGGGGCCTAGCTCGCAGTACCGCTCGGGACCACCCACGCCACACGTGCTGGTCGACTCCACGTGACCGCCATAAGCGGCGTTGACAAAGTCGGGAACGCACCGGCGAGCCCGATCTCCGTCGTAGCATGGATCGGTTGTGTCCGACGGATCGGCTTCGGCTGGCACCCACGAAAAGACCGCGAAAGACAAGATGATGACGACGCTTACCGTGACGGCGTGGACGTTATTGCGGTAGACCATCGCGATCTGATTTTTTCTTTTTTTCGACGAAAGACGTTCCTCTTGTATACACGATTAATGTATTATGCAACAAATGCTAATTGAATTCAACGAGACGTCCGAAAAGCACAGGCCATTTAACCGATATATCGTTATTATTATTGTACTGTCGCGTGTTATATTATATTTTACGTATTTTTACGCTCAGTTGGCCGGACGCCAAGAGTACATTCCCCCCGCGCACGGGGTGGCCGCGGTAGGTATAAGTAGGTATTATATATATATTATAATATATAGCTAATCGTACTTATATACATACGTAATATTACGACAAGCGACGGCTGCGACGGTATAAATCGCGATACACACACTCGAAACACTGTTGTACGCACGCACATGCACTGCGGTATAGCGGGCGGCCGTTATGCTTGTTCTCGTTGCGCGAGCGGACCACGACGGTGATACACTGTACCGGAGACTGACTGACTGCCTCGATCTCGGGCGGCAGACACGGTGCCGCGCGTCTAGCGCGCACGGCCGGGGCGGAGCGGGTCTCGTGCGCTCCAATCGGGTGGAAAATGGTCCGCCGCGGACGGCCGGATAGTGGGGCTGCCGCCGGCCGGTCCGGCGGCCCGCGGGAGAGGTGAAATTGGCAATCGGGCAAATCTGCTATGCAGTTATACCTTCTTCTGCTTTTGATTCTGCCTCTGCCTATACAACGTTCATGCCTGCACTTCGTCTTCTACTGCTTCTTGTACTTCTTCTACTTCATCTTCTCGAAGATGTGTGTAACATATCATCGTAATATGTATTTTTATGTAATGTGTTTTTGCGCAATGGTTAAAAGTCAACGTAATTGCGGAACCAACAACTATAGATGGTAGTAATAGCCAATAGGTACATAATAGTAATATTAGGTATGATCGTAATGTGCATGTACACCATGTCGCATAGGTGCACTCTATATTTACTTCTTACTTCCCTCCTCCCCACTCCATTACTTGATTAATTATAATAAATTACATGGTAATTATTCTGAAATGGGATTAAAGTTACATAACCATGGAGTAAGACGAGTCAAGTCCAACACCAACAAGTGTGTTACAAATATGATATTATTATATTATCGTGTCATCAATCCCACTATTACACTAGCCCTGACCTGGAAGAGTGACCCGAAGATCGAAAGAATGTCTGATTTTTTTGCATGCATTGATGCATCTATGAATATTGTATATAATATTTGTAAATATTTCGTCATATTAAAATAATATATTATTATTGATTCAATGTTTAAGACGAATATGGAATCTACAGAATAATGGAAAAACTGGCACAAATATTATTATAACCTGTACAACATTTCAGCAGTTAACTCAGTCCAAATTATTACACGAAATATAAATAAATCAAGGTTGTAGTCTTTATTTAAATAATTATTTTTTGATACGTTGTTACTTTATTATTATTTTTTTTATATTATAGAATAGTATTATCTTCTATTATTTACTTTTATTGAAATTAATTTTAATGGTATCTTTATATTTTACAAGCGGTTATATTCGTTTTGTGTTAAACAAACAAATTTGTTTAATGAAAATTTGAAAATTACACATCGTTAAAATATGCGTGCATAGTACATACAGATTGTACATAATGTCATTATTCGATTGTCTTTAAAGTAATTTAAAATAGTTGACAGAAGTATAATTTGTACAGAAGTTTCTTATTTGTTGTCAAACAATAACAATGGCTTGAAACTGTGACCAACTACTGGCAACAGCCATAATATGTAGATTGTAGCTGTAACTTGTAAGTATATAAATGTGATTTAAAACAGGCATTTAACTTTTAATAATTGAACCATTGATGAGTTATTACTTTTGGTTGTTCTATAATTATTTTAATTATTTTAGCAGAATTATTGTGTTTATTGTTTGCAAACGAGAAGATTGTTATAATAATATTATTATTCATGATTTATATTCCATAGTTATAGTTCTAAGTTATTGATCTTATACCCATATGGATACTTTATTTTGTATTGTATAATACGTACATCTTGAACATTTTTTTTATAGGTATAAAGTTTATATCAAATAAAATTACTCCTCGTGTACCTGCGAATAGAAAAAAGTTAGATATGTACAGTAGCGTATCCAGAATTTTTTCTCGGGAGGGGTTATAATTTATTTTTGTGGAATTTTATCTTAAAATGATTTATTAATGATAACGTTGTTATAATTTAACAATTTTCGGGGGGAGGGTACAACCCCCTAACCCCCCCCCCCTGGATACGCCACTGGATATGTATATGCAAAATATTTTTCCCTCTGCCCTTGTGTCAAAAACCACTACTGTATTCGACTAGCAACTAACCTTACTTATAACGCCACTCGCATGTAGTTTATTTACATACAGACATTTCATTTAGTAGGTAATATTATTGTTTTGGAAAAGAAATATATATAATATGTATACTCAAATATGGTGTGATTCAGTGCATAAATTAACGTTGGGGAACTCTAAATTTTCTGAAAGTATACGACGTACGGCGTTGTAGCGGCGGCAGGGTATTACCATAACAATCACATGTAATTTTACCGGGTCCAGGCTTGAAACAACGACTGCACCGCGTCGACTACTATCTTATGTTCGGAAAACAAATTATACGCTGTGCATGGCATGCAGTTCATGGAGCGTCCGGACCGAGACATCCAATAATACAGCCAAAATATAGAACCTACTGACGACGACATACCTAATATTGATAACTGATAATAGTCTCCAATACAATAAAATATAGACAATGAAACATAAGTATTATAGTAAAGCGACACACCAATCCGACCAATACCTGCATCAAACCGTAATTCTTTAGTCTACAATATGATTTGCGATACATTACAATGATAAACCCTAAAATAATATATTTATAAATGTATAATGTACCTAAAAAATAAATAAGTAAATAAATACCTAATAAACAGATGGTTTTGAAACAAATTTTAATAATAAAAAAGATGATCTGCTGTACAGTAGGTTATAAGTGGGTCACTGTATAATGGATAGTATTAATTTTGAATTCAATGATATAATTTCATTGTTTAAGAAAAACGATTCCGAGAGGAGACAGTATGTCAGTCTAGGTATAAGACATATTATATACTTATCTATGGTATTAAAAAAAATTGACCTATAATAGGTTCCTATAATAAATTCCAAATTAATCATATCACAATATCCATTAGGTACATATAACGCGTTATACATCAACAACAAACCCTGATACTATCATCGATATATAATAGCGTACTTTAGAAGTTTTAAGTAAACACGAATAATATTATACAATCACAACAAAATAACTAAATTAGTTATTCTAGGTTATTTATTATGTAATTTCTTCCAAATTTGAACTTAAAATGACTATAAAAATAAACTGTGCTTATGTATTTTTAGATTTTTTGGTAACAGAATTAACTACTTACTTGAAATCTTTTAATAAATTTTCAATCCTTAGACATAAAAGTTGAACATTTTATAAATTTTTAACTACAAAATAATTATTCAATTTTAAATTTGATACATTTTCTCAAAATTCTATCTTTAAATGCTAATAAAAAAAAATGTGCATAGGTATTTTTAATATTTTTCAACTGATATTGTAACAATATATCAGGAGCCTTGTATTAAATTTTTTATAGTTTTTGGCCCAACAGATAAAACTTGATTGATATTTATATAAAAAAAACTAAAAAAATTGAAAACTGTAAATGTCCGTAAACAGCTGAAAAATAGTCAAAATATTTTCAAAATTGTATGGTGTATAGAAAATTCTAATATAAACATTCAGTGAAATTTTCATGTATCTATAGTTCTTCGTTTTTGAATTACAACAAAATAAGAAAATCGTTACATGACAAATCGAGTGAATATCAAATGTTGCAAAAATTTGAATTTCAAACGCTCACAAAAATTTAATTTGACTTTTTTATAGACATTTTTTTTTGATAAAGGTAGATACTCTTATAAGGAATTTTGTATTACATTTTAAAATCTTAGATTAAAACAGAAAAATTTTTACGAATTTTTAACTCAAAATAATTTGAGAAAATAATTTCGTGATTTTTCCATATTTTGTCAATTTTTTAACTTTAAATGCTTATAAAAAAAATTGTGACTAAGGATTTTTAATATTTTTCATCTATCTTTGAAACAATATACTAGAAGCCTTCTATTAAATTTTCAAGCTTTTTTAACCATCAAATAAAATTTTATTGATATTTTTAGAAAAAAACTAAAAAAAAAAATGGAAAATGAAAATGTCCCTAAACAGATCAAAATAAATCAAATTATTTTTAAAATGTTATCATGTATAAAAAATGCAAATATAAACAACTAGTGAAAATGTCATGTATCTACGGTCATTTGTTTTAAAGTTACACCAAAAGCCAAATTCAATTTTATGAAAAATCGATTTTGCGTACAAATTCCTGTTTTTCCTTAATTTTTCTTATGTTTTTCTTGACGCTTTTGAAAATTACTGGGAATTTTAAATTTTTACCTTCTCAATGCACCGACGATATTCACTTTCCAATCGAACAAGATACTGAAGTTGAAAATCGAAGCATTATTTCGACTACTTATCGTGTACACAGACACAAAAAAAATTTAAAAAAAACACACACATCATTGTAAAATCAATACATTCATCGTTCCTCTCAGAATCTAAAAAAAAAATAATATGATCTTTAAAAAGTTTACCAAATCACTATTTATACCAGTATACCACTTAAAATACTGAAGAACCTAATACTTACTCCCTAAAATATACTTAAAATGTTAGTTAATATGTTATTTAGATATAGTAGATACCAGTTGGTCACAATTCGAAACCCATATAAAAAATATGAAAAATATTAAACTTCTGCTCATATTATTATACTTCGGACCACTACCTATTTGTATTTTTTTTTACAAGTTATCAATTAATAAATTACAGGTAATCTATATCTATA